ACACACACACACACACACACACACACACACACACACACACACACACACACACACACACAAAGGTCTCTGATTCCTCAAATGAACTGCAGTGGCTGGAGTAACACAGTCTGGACAAAGTCATTTGTTGTGATTAAAGTTCTTTGGGCAGCACAAGTCATTTTAGCCAGTGGGACACACACACATGAGCACACGCAAAATACATAGGGAAGGAGGTGAGACAGGTGAGTTTGGCCGGGATGGTGTCAATCASTCCTCTCTGCTCCTGTTGGCGTAAGTCTTCTGGGAAATTAAAAGCCTGTAACTTAGCTAGAATGAGTCAAATTAAATGTGAACTTTTCACTGCTGAGAAGAACACCCCCCACCAACACACGCACAAACACACACAGACACGCACAAGGCTCTGAAGGAGTAATAACGCTGTGTTTTGTTGTTCATTTTGCAAAAATATCTCATGAATCACCAAGAGGAATTCAATGAAGCATTTATAAAGTKATCATTGGGAAGTCATCGGCAGTGTCTTCAGGGGCTGCAGCCCACGTAGACCGAGGCCCACCGAGGTCACACCCCTTTGCAGTTCAGGTAGGCTGTTTAAAACGGCTGTGAAATGAGATGGTCAACCCTGCACTACCCTGTTACTATAGTGTTACGTTTTGTATCACATGCCTTTAAAATGCATTGACACATGTATTCACGTTTTTTCATAGGAGGTATAATGTCACAAAATTTACTGTTTTATTAATTATGGTACATGTAAGCAAACAACAAAAAAAACATCAAGAATTTGGGTTTAGCTCTATTGTTAGTAATTGGAATTGCATTCTATTTAACATCTCATTGCAGCAGAAACAAACTGTACATGTCAAAATGTACGGATTGTCTGTAAATTACACAGATTTCCCCCATGGTATTCAGATGTAAAGGGCAATCTCTCACTCTGTTATCTCTGCCCCATGTCCTGTCYTTCCCCAACAGCCCACTTTTGACCCTTCCTGCTCGTATGCGAGTAATAATGATTCATAGGGAAAATTACAGRCTTTTGAGTATAAAGATTGGCAGCACAATGGCTCAGTGGTTAGCACCGAYGCCTCACAGCAAGAAGGTCCTAGGTTTGATCCCCAGTTCGGACCTGGGGCTTTTCTGTGGGGAGTTTGCATGTTCTCCTTGTACTTGTGTAAGTTTTCCCCGGGTACTCTGGTTTCCCCCACCCTCAAAGACATGTACAATAGGTAGCCTTCAGGCCCAGGCCTCCCTTGAAAAAAAGATCTGCAATCTCAATGGGATTTGCCTGGTTAAATAACRGTAAATAAATAAGATACAGCTAAATGTCTCAAGAGATTGACATGTGGGCAAAAATTTCATCAGCGCATTTGCTAAACATACATTTAAAAATATATTCTTAGGTCTGTGGTGACTTTCCAAACTCTACCAGCTTCCTGTTTAGTTTGCTGGTAGTGCAATGAATCCTGGGATACTGTCGGCCGCACAGCCTTTTCAGATAGAACCTATGTTTTTGTGTTTTTGTGGGCTGCTTTTGCTGCCACATGAGACAAAGCCCACAAAATGGGACAGCCCTACATGGACCGCAGCCCCTAAATTAACACAGCTCATAACCGATTAACTATTGGAGTAAACCAAATTCAAGATGGCTGCCACAGCCAGGCCCGGCCCTAGCCAATTTAGCACCCCAGGGAAGATTTCAGGTGTCGCCCCTCGTGCAAATTTCTAAATTTCACTGCCAATTTACAAACACTTACATACAAAATGATGTAGTTTTGTCTTTGATATTATTATTTTTTTATTTTTAGAAAACATGTCCAATTAAAATAATTTACATTACAGTATAATTAATTTGAAACAGAATATTATAAGTCTACCTCATTTCTGCTGACAGCAGCGATGAACATAATGTTCATGTTAATGAGCAGCGGCAGAGAGAAGCCGTTGGGGGGGGTGGGGGGGGGGGGGAATCCAGATATTCTCCCCTGGAATTTTTTTTTAAAAGATCTACTACGCTTTAAAACTACATATTTAACAGCTATCTGAAGAGTTATTTACAAAATTCGGGGATTAACAAAATAACATAAAATCAGTATTTTATGAAGAACACTGAAAATCATCAAATCACAAGCAGGCTGAGGAACCCACACAAGTTATCTTCATAAACTTGAGCAATCGGTAATTATTTTGTAGAATAAATTAACTCTAAAAAAGTTATAAAATGTTTTTGTCATCCCCCATTTGTGACACACGCTCTATGGACAGCGCCTTTAGCGTTTGCTTATGCTGCCCATGCCACAGGCCAGCCCTGGCCACAGCTAATGTACCTTTGCCAAGGCAAAACTGGTTTTGGCTTACTCGTAATTGCAGATATTGAGGAATAGCTTTAGTAGTACAAAACAATGTGAGATGTGCCTGTTGTGGTCATCTTGAACTGTCATGAAAGGTGAGGAGTGATCTGCATTCCTAGGTCTTTAATTATTATATGCGACCCATCATATTGAAATGAGGATCAAGTCAAATTTGGTCAAAATGACCTAATTACATTTTGAGATTCTTGGCGTTAAAAGCTACATTTTGATGCCTGGATCATTCTGTTATCATAATTAAATCCATATATATGACTTAATTTGACTTGTTGGTTACAATAATACAAAAATATTTGGTCTGAATCCTAATTTTATGTCCTTTTAATGAGGATTTTTTGATGTCCTTATAAAGAGGAAACCTCAAATTGTATTTGAATATTGAGATCTCCCAGCTAAAAATAAAGAAAACTTTGCTAGCTTCCAGGGAAAATCTCAAAATTTTAAGGCGTTTTTCATCAAAATCAGTCTTTTTTGTTGCTACTGCTCAAAAAAGTGCTTCAGAATTTTGTTTTATGATTATATTTCAGGCAATTAATTCAAATGATACATTGATAAGGCTTTTATTCATTATATTTTGACAAAATGCAATTTTTGTTAACATTTTAGTCAAAACACTGTATTTGCCTATTTCTCCTTATGCCACTTTTGGACTTTAATCCTCATTTCGATGTAATGGGTCACATATTTGCTTTATTCTGTTTCAATTTAACTCTTTCTTTTTGTCAAAAAATGACGAATAATATAGATCCAACGTGTCTCAACGGAAGCCATAAAGCCTTCTTCTTGCTTCTTCAGCCTCATTTATCTCCGTTATTTCCCTGTCTTTCGCCTCTTTGGCCATCTGTTCCCTCATTAGGCCGCTAAGGGGCGGTGCTCCACTTCAGACTTCACCAAACACGCTCCATCTTCCAGGTAGGACAGGCAGGAGAGCGCAGCAGCACCAGTCTGCGTGACACCCCCGACAGCACCGCAACTCTGTCCCACCACTTGGACAACTGTCTCATCACTTTTTCTTTTTGAGGATAAAAATGAATCTTCTCTGTGCAGACAAAAAACACACTGAGAGAAGCCGAGCACGTCCTTTCTGGTAGGATTGGCTTCATAAGTTTCTGCGTAAAAGAGGAAAGAGGGAGAAAGCGGAACTTTCAGGGGGAGCTTCATTGGCACAGCTAGTGGGGTGCAGRCAGCACGCTGGTTGTGAAAACCAGGAGGTCAGAGCTGCTACTCCTTTTTTTTATTTTTATTTTTTTTCTCCCAGCTTTTCGAGTGTGGATGGTAAGGCATAACTTTGCCTCTGTGCGCGAGAAAGCAGCCGCTTTCTGGTGAAGGAGAGGTGGGGGGGATGCGAGCCTCTCCTGCGTGTCGGATTGTGGAGTGGCAATGAGGAAAGAGATTCACCTGCTGGGCTGACAAGTACAAGACCACACACCGCAACAACAGGTAATATCGGACTAACCTTTACACTTGAGGGGGAAAAGGGGTGTGGGGTGTGCACCGGTTTGTTTTTACTGCGTAAAAAGTGTAGAGCGAGAGAGAGAGAGAGTTGGGGGTATTAAAGTAAATGGCCCACCTGACATGCATGGATACAACTCCATTACAATGTTCTGATTATCCCGCGTTTTAAAAGCCATTTAGGCTCAATACGAAATGGAATATATTCCACCCGGGATAGTTTCAGCATTGGGAAAAAAAAGGAGTGGGTTTTATGAAGGAGCAAGAGTTGCACACACACACACACACACACACACACACACACACACACACACAC